CGCCCCCAGGGCTGTGTTCCCCTCCATCGTGGGCCGCCCCCGCCACCAGGTACGGCGCTGTCCCCCTCCGAGCATCCCTCCAAGCCCTGCCACAGCGATGGCCGCGGGCCCCCGCCACCTCCTAGCCCTCTGCGTGGTGGGAGGACGCCCGGCCCGCTGGGGTGCCACACGCTACTGCCTGTGGAAAGGTCGCTGAGTCCCCCCTTTCCTCCCCTGCAGGGCGTCATGGTGGGTATGGGTCAGAAGGACTCCTACGTAGGAGATGAAGCCCAGAGCAAGAGAGGTATCCTGACCCTGAAGTACCCCATTGAACACGGCATCATCACAAACTGGGACGACATGGAGAAGATCTGGCACCACACCTTCTACAATGAGCTGCGTGTGGCCCCTGAGGAGCACCCCACACTGCTCACTGAGGCCCCCCTTAACCCCAAAGCCAACCGTGAAAAGATGACCCAAATCATGTTTGAGACCTTCAACGTCCCTGCCATGTACGTGGCCATCCAGGCTGTGCTGTCCCTGTATGCCTCTGGCCGTACCACTGGTGAGTTCAGGTGTCCCGCTGGCCCTTTTCCTCAAGCAAGGACACCCAGGACTGGTGCCCTACAGCTGACAAGTGCTCTGTCCCCCAGGGTAGGGCCCTTTGTGGGCTGCGTCTCAGGTGGCTGCTTTTTGTTTCCCCAGGTATCGTGCTGGACTCTGGCGATGGTGTGACACACAATGTCCCCATCTATGAAGGGTATGCCCTGCCCCATGCCATCATGCGCTTGGATCTGGCCGGCCGGGACCTCACTGACTACCTGATGAAGATCCTGACTGAGCGTGGCTATTCCTTCGTCACCACAGGTAAGCACTATTCTCTCCCCCAAAATGTTCCCCCTTACTTCCAACCCTTGCACCTCCAGGGATGCTGCATCCTCCTGCCCCATTGCAAGCCCCCTGAGCGCTCCCTGTTGGGAGTTTGCCTGAGGTCGGGGATCTGGAGTCCCAGCAGGCCTATGGAGCAGATGCAGGCATTCCCCGTTTCTCCTTTGCAATCACTGATGCCTTTGCTCCCCCCTGACAGCTGAACGTGAGATCGTCCGTGACATCAAGGAGAAGCTGTGCTATGTGGCGCTGGACTTTGAGAACGAGATGGCCACTGCTGCCTCTTCCTCCTCCCTCGAAAAGAGCTATGAGCTGCCTGATGGGCAGGTCATCACCATCGGCAATGAACGTTTCCGCTGCCCAGAAACCCTCTTCCAGCCTTCCTTCATTGGTGTGTGTGCCCCGCTTCCCTCTCTCCTCCCTTACCAGCTCTTCCCTCCCTCCTGAGTCCTGCTGCAGAGCTCTCGCTTTGCACTTAAGTTGTGCCTTCTTTTCTCCCCTTCCCTGCCCCCAGGTATGGAGTCCGCAGGGATCCATGAGACCACCTACAACAGCATCATGAAGTGCGACATTGACATCAGGAAGGACCTGTACGCCAACAATGTCATGTCTGGGGGTACCACCATGTACCCAGGTATTGCTGACCGCATGCAAAAGGAGATCACAGCCCTGGCCCCCAGCACAATGAAGATCAAGGTAAGGCTGGAGTGTGAAGGACCCAGGCACAGGAGTAGCCTTCTTTTGCCCTCCTGCAAACAGCGTGCGGGGCTGTGCACACCCCTGTGCCTGCCACCCGTGGCGGTTGCTTGTTTACTGATCTCGGCTCTCTTGGCTTTTTCTAGATCATTGCCCCACCTGAGCGTAAGTACTCTGTCTGGATCGGTGGCTCTATCCTGGCCTCCCTGTCCACCTTCCAGCAGATGTGGATCACAAAGCAGGAATATGACGAAGCTGGCCCATCCATTGTCCACCGTAAATGCTTCTAAACATGTTTACATGATCACTTTGCCAACCATACTCAGGATGACAACCTTCTAGGTTGCAGGCTGCCCAGGACCTGCAACAGCCATGTAACTTTCTATTTTGTAACAATTTCTGGTTACTGTTGCTGCAAAGCTCCACCTGACACAATGTATGTAAAGTGTACATAAATTAATTTATTTTACCTCGTTTTGTTTGTTTTTAAAACCAATGCCCTGTGGAAGGAAACAAAAAACTTCAAGAAGCATTAAATCATCAGTCATTCTGTCACACCCCTAATGCGGTTGTTTCTGTCATCATTTGCTTGGGTTCTTCTGTCAGTCACTGACTTAGTGCGTCGTCTAACAGCGAGGGCAGTGGGTGGTGGGGCTGGAGCTCCCCAGACAGGAGGAGGACTGGGGAGGGGAGAGGAGCCCAGCCTGAGGAGCCAGCCCTGCCTGGGTTGCAGAGAGCTCGGCGGTGCTGTGTGTTGCATCATGCTGCTGCAAGGTGGGTGCCCGCTGCTCTGCAGCGTGCTCTTCCTAGACCCAGGGGGGAAAGGGTTACCTAGAGCCTTGGCTTGCAAAGGATTTTATTTGGCTCAGCCTGCCAAAAAAAGTAGCCCTGGCATGCTCATGTAGCTCCAGGGCGTGCTGGATGGAGGCAAGGCTGGGGCTGAGGGCAGGTGGCGGGTGCAGGTTAAATAAAGAGCTTTCCACTCCGCTTATGGGAAGCCTGCCTGCCATCACGCTGTCCCTGGGGAGCCCAGAAGGCCGAGGGCAGCCAGGGCCACTTCCTCACCCTGCCTGACACGCTTGCCCTTGCCCATGGTCGCACATGAGGGGCTGTCTGCAAGGGGACCACCCCCTCCTCTGCCCTCCAGGGCCAGATCCTTCACACAGGGACTCCCCGGGAGCCCAAAGGAAAACCCCAGGGGCTTCCCCCTGCTGCAGGCATTTGCCCTTTTTGCCTCTCAGGGAGCAGAGCAGCGTGCCAGGTAGGGAAGCTGGCCCTGCCTGTCTCACTTCTCTCTTACGGGGGTGGGGGGCTCTGGGGCCCCCATTGCTTCCACTATCCACCCACCCCACCAGGTGCTCAGGTCGCTTGGGAAGCCACTCTAAAGCCCTGCCAGGCTTGGCACAGCTCCCTGCGTCAGGGCATGTGTGCAGGAGCAGGCAGCCTTTGGAGGAGGACTTCTCCTGGAGCACAGGGCCCCGGCAGGAAAGCAGTGCTTGAGTTTTGGGGTGTCCCCTTGCTGTGGAAGACAGCAGTGCTGGGGAAAAACGTGATTTGCAGCTAAACTTCCAGCCCAGGAAGGTGTTTTGCTCTGCTGCGACTATGCTAAGGGTGAACTTGTTTTGCATTTTGGCTGGTTTTACCTGCATTAAAGTGAGACCCATATGTAAGTACAAATTTTTGTAGCCCTATCCCAAAGGAAAAGCTGCGGGAGGAGCCAGCCTGATCCTTTCCTAGTATCCAGGGGTAGGGAGACCCCTGGGCAGCCCTAGGAGCTCTTGAGCTGAGATCCCTCTTGAGTGACTGGGGTGGGACTGGAAAGCAGGAACACGGTTGCTTCTTAAAAACCAAACACGAGCTTTTACTTGCCATGTGTGCAAGTTGTTGTGTAGTGGCAGACATATTTCATCTGACAGCTCTGTGTTGGGGTTTGGGGAGATGCTTAACTAACGTTAAGTCCTCAGTACTTGACCCCTGATCTCAGGTTCAATTGCGGCTTAAGTGGTGTTACGAGATGGATTTTAGGACCTGCTTCTGCTGTTTGATTAAAAGGCTGTTTCAGAAGCACAGATAAAAGTTAAGTTAGAAAAGCAGCCTCGTGGATAAGACAGCGCTCACTGTGGGGTACCAGCACAGACTCAGCTTTTCCACCTGCATGATTAAAGTTAGGGTCCTAAACCCACAATAGAAGGGGCTGATTTTTGAGGGGAGTGATGCTGAGCCAGCCACCCTCCCTCCAGCCTGATCAAAATCAGTGGGAGCAGGGGATGCTTGCTCCCTCTGAATGAAGACCTAGATTTTGCGGTGCCAAACTGAACTCAGGACCGCTCATGTGAGCGCAGCCGTGGGCAGAGGGCAATCCTCCGGCAGCCAGGGCATTGCAGGGGCACTGCCTTGTGTGGGGAGGCTGATGCTGCCACTGGCATCTCGTCGTCTGCCCTCTCTGTCAGCAGCATTTTGTCTTGTACTAACCACAGCATCAGGTATTCTCAGCAGTCTTAGTGCCAATTTCATCCTGTGGAAGTTAAGTGCCAAAAAGTGCATTTTTACAGCTGAAAAAAATTACTGGTTTGATGGTTTAGTTGCTCAATCAATGAACTGAGACACAACGAATTTTTAAGCCTACCAAACCAAACCTGCTCAGGTTTTAATTTCAAACCAAAACACATTCTTTAATCTGAAACCAGCTTTTTATTTGGGCTTGGGATTTTCAGCAATTGAAGACACAGTTTGGAAACGGGTGACTTGAATTTTCACATGGTTTATAAGCCCTGGTGTTGGGAAGGTGTTTCGGGAAATTTCACTTGTGCACAGCAGTCCGGGTTTGGTCTTCATTGTGCATTTCTCGAGAATTTCATTATCCTCCCTGCGCCTCTAACAGTGCTGTTGGCGGCAGGCGAAGGATCGCCAGGACCAGCATCCTCTGTTTTGAGAGAGGCACAGGAATAAATGTGACCGCAGAGGGGTAAAAGGGAACAGAAGGAAGGACGCAGGACACCGACGTGCCGCGGGAGGGAGGGTAGTGGCAGAGTGGCTCTTGCCTGCGCCCACAGCACCCTCTGCGGCTGTAGCTCACTGCTTGCTCCTGCTTGCTCCTACTACACCTGGGGCTGGACCAGTGCAGGACAACCCTCCGGAGCTTGGCTCCACAGTTGCACCCACTGGGCAACGCAAGAAGCTGCCCAGGATGCAAATGTCACCAAGGGATGGAAAAGCTGGAGAAGGAAAGAGTCCTTGACTCTCATAATCAAAAATTATGTGGGGCTGTTTAAATGAGCTCGGGAGACAGAGTCATGAGTGGGCCTTGATGTAAGCTTCCCCAGGGCCTGCAGATGTCTGGGCCGTTACCAAAATTATTTAAGAAGCTAAGTAACAGGGAAAACCTGGGTTCTGAGGGACAGGCTCAAGGGAGCCTCTGAGCAGAAGAACAAAGGGAATCCTGGAGAAGATGAGGGCACTAAAAGTGCTTCCTAATTTCATTTTGATAGAGATTTTGCTAATGTGATAATCCGCATTGCACAGAGAGCAGAACGTGGCCCAGGATGGGCCACCTCCCACAAAATGTCACAGCTCTGTCCCCTGTTTGGGAAAGGGAACTGGCACCCTGACGCACTTCTGCCCTTCTCCAAAACTGCAGAAAGAAAAAGTGCTTTGACCTACAGTATTTATTGGGTTTGGCTTTGCTGAGAGGACCTGAACACCCTCTCAGCACCGACACCAGTGCAGCTCCACTGTGTACTCAGTTGGCTGTGAATCTCCCGTGGGCATTTGGCCAATAATATTTATTCAATGAGATTTAGTAAAAGGACAAAATCGAGGCCACTTGAAAATTACCATTATTTTTCTCAGGGAACTCCTAAGAAACAAATTCTGTGGCATTCTTTATTTTTGAAAGTGAAGCATTAAAATGAAGCCCTTCAACACAGTCGTTCAAAACTTCAAATGCTTTTATTTTATAAGAAAATTTTTTGCTGTTTCTATTTCATTAATCCATAGAAAGATTTAATCAAATGGAACATTGCCTGTTAGGGTTTCTTTCTTTCTTTCTTTCTTTTCTTTCTTTCTTTCTTTCTTTTTGAAAGAACAGGCATTTTTCTTTAAAAAATAATTAAAAGAGCTATTCAGATGTATAGATTGCCATGGTGCATCTTCTGGGGCTGGAAAAAGGAGCACACGAGGGTGACTGTAACCTGCTGATCAGCTGATGGATAACTGCAGGCAGTGCAGGCGTGCAGGGCTCCCACGTGGGACGGATGCCAGTCAGGGTGGGCAGCTTTAGCGACAGGGCCATTCGGAGCATCCCGCGGCCTCACGCTCTTTCCCAGGAACTGCTGGCAGCTTTTGGGATCCTCCTCAGTCCCTCAGGGGCAGAACAGCCTTTGAGGGGACCAAAAGCATCCAGCTTGAAGCCTGGGGAATTAGTTGTAATTGCAGCTGGCAAAGGCTCTGGTTTTTATTTGTTGAGGACCTGAAAAATAAAGCAGTTTCTGATCGCTGTGCAGTGGGGAAAGCCGGGAGTATTGCTGGCCCCCACTGGGGATGCACGGCTGTGTGTGATGGGGATGAGCAGATGATGGAGAAACCTTTTATTGCCCAGGGGTTCTCCTTCTTCTTCGCCCCAGGGCATCCTGTCAACCTTGAAACTACACTGCCTGGTGCAGAACTGGGACCAGCAGCGTGCAAACCTCCAGCACTGCGGTGACCCTGGGTAGCTTATCCTCTTGTGCCTGCAGGGACCACAGCCAAAACCTGTTTTGTCTCAGCTGCTCAAGGCCAGGCTCTGAAACTGAAGCGTGCGGCTCGGAGGCAGCTCTGGCTGCGGTTGTTCAGGGAGTGCCGCAGGCAGCCTGGGAATGAGACTCTCTGTAACCCCACCTCGGGGAGCTGCGTATATATAGATCCCTGGAAGCAGCTTTCTTCCTTGGCACATCCCTCCCACCCGTAATACCCTCCAAACGTGCTCTCCCTGCCCCCCTGTGCCCTCGCTGCTCGGCTTCCAGCAGCTTCTCTCCCTTCCAGGGAAAACAAGGCTTTAAAGCTGAGAAATATCACTGCTGGAGGGAAAAGAGGGAGGACCGCCTTATAAAGGGGGTCTCACACATGCTCAGAGGTGAGCAGCATAAAGAGAATGGCAACAGGCATCAGTGCCTGACCCCGGCAGGCATGTACCCTCACGTTCATTTCATTGCAACGCAGCTGGGCTCTTCCACAAGGACCTGAGTTGTATTTGCAAAGGAGATCGCGCCTTGTAGCTCTCCTGGTTAGGTTGCCCTCTTTCACAAAGCAGGATCGCTCTGAGAGGGGGTTCAGGTACATGAGTGTAGGGGGACCTCTGTATGGCTGCAGCTCGGTCCTTTTCCCAGGGGAAGAGCTGCCCTAGTGCCCGGCACACTGGCAGGGACAGAGGTGCTCCCACAGGCAGCACTGGGGTGGTGACAGGAGATAGTGACCCTTCAGCTCACACCTGCTGGTCCCTCAGACACTATTTGAGTGTAAAATAAAATGCCATTAACAGTGGCCGGTGCTGAGCTTAGTTTGCTGGTCTTGCATTGGGTAGGACAGCG